ATATATATATATATATATTTATTCTCTAAAATATAACTTATTTTCATTTCTATAATATAATATATATATATATATATATATATATATATATATTTTAACTATTCAGAAAACTAATCGACTATTTGAAAAAGTAATCGATTAGTTTTTTAATACTTATTTTAGATAACGATTAACGCGCTTATCATATATGTCACTTTTAAGAGCGGTTCCACGTTAATCTATTATTATATATATATATATATATATATATATATATATATATATTTAACTATTTAAAAAACTAATCGATTATTTCAAAAAGTAATCTATTAGTTTTTTCATACTTGATGAGAATAAGTTATTTTCTTAATAATTGATTAATTTTTAAAAAATCAATTAGTTTTTCAAATATATATTAAATAATTATAAATAAAAAAATATAATTATTTTTAAATTATATATATTATATATATTATAAATATAAAGTTAAAAAAATTATATTTAAAATTATAACCTTAAAAAAATTATAATTATAAAGTTAATAAAAATATAACTATTTTTAATGATAAATAAAATATATATATTATATAAATTATATATATATATATATATATATATTACATAAATTAAAATTACATATATGAACTCTAAATTAATTTTATATATAAAATTTACATAAATAAAAATAAAAATTATCAACTTAAAAATAAATTATATTTTAATATATATATATATATATATATTCTCTAAAGTATAACTTATTTTCATTTCTATAATATAATATAATATATATATATATATATTTGAACTATTCAAAAAATTAATCGTTTATTTCAAAAAGTAATCGATTAGTTTTTTCATACTTATTTAAGATAGCGGTTAACGTGAGACCGCTATCATATATGTCACTTTTAAGAGCCATTCAACTTTAACCGCTATTATATATATATATATATATATATATATATATATATATATATATTTTAATTATTTAAAAAACTAATCGATTATTTCAAAAAGTAATCGATTAGTCTTTTCATACTTGATGAGAATCAGTTATTTTTTTAAATAATAGATTAATTTTTAAATAACCAATTAGTTTTTCAAATATATATTAAATAATTATAAATAAAAAATATATCAACTTAAAATTAAAAAAAAATAATTATTTTTAAATTATATATATTATATAAATTATAAATATAAAGTTAAAAAAATTATATTTCAAATTATAACCTTAAAAAAATTATAATTATAAAATTAATAATAATATAACTTTTTTTAATGTTAAATAAATTATATATATTATATAAATTATATATATATATATATATATATATATATATATATTACATAAATTAAAATTACATATATGAACTCTAAATTAATTTAATTTATAAAATTTACATAAATAAAAATAAAAATTATCAACTTAAAAATAAATTATATTTTAATATATATATATATATATATATATATATATATATATATATATATATATCTCCAAAGTATAACTTATTTTTATTTCTATAATATAAAATATATATATATATATATATATATATATATATATATAAATATATATTTTTTAACTAATCGATTATTTTGAAATAATCCATTAGTTTTTTATGAGAACCAGTTATTTTTTTAAATAATTGATTAATTTTTAAATAATCAATTAGTTTTTTAAATATATATTAAATAATTATAAATAAAATATATATGAAATTAAAATTAAAAAAATTATTTTTAAATTATATATATTATATAAATTATAAATATAAAGTTAAAGAAAATTATATTTAAAATTATAAAATTAATAAAAATATAACTATTTTTACTGTTTAAAAAATTATATATATTATATAAATTATATATATATATATATATATATATATATTACATAAATTAAAATTACATATATGATCTCTAAATTAATTTTATATATAAAATTTACATAAATAAAAATAAAAAATATCAACTTAAAAATAAATTATATTTTAGTATATATATATATATATATTTATTCTCTAAAGTATAACTTATTTTTATTTCTATAATATAATATATATATATATATATATACTTTTTTAACTATTGACAAAACTAATCGATTATTTCAAAAAGTAATCGATTAGTTTTTGGATACTTATTTTAGATAGCGGTTAACGTGGGACAACTATCATATATGTCACTGTTAAGAGCGATTTCACATTAACCGCTATCATATATGTCACTTTTAAGTGCGGTTCGCGTTAACCGCTATTTTATTTATATATATATATATATATATATATATTAACTATTTAAAAAACTAATCGATTATTTCAAAAAGTAATCGATTAGTTTTTTCATACTTGATTTTTTCATACTTGATGAGAATCAGTTATGTTTTTAAATAATTGATTAATTTTTAAATAATCAATTAGTTTTTCAAATATATATTAAATAATTATAAATAAAAAATATATCAACTCAAAATTAAAAAAAAATATTTTTAAATTATAAATATTATATAAATTATAAACATAAAGTTAAAAAATTTATATTTAAAATTATAACCTTAAAAAATTATAATTATAAAATTAATAAAAATATAACTATTTTTAATGTTAAATAAATTATATATATTATATAAATTATATATATATATATATATATATATATATATATATTACATAGATTAAAATTACATATATGAACTCTAAATTAATTTTATATATAAAATTTATATAAATAAAAATAAAAATTATCAACTTAAAAATAAATTATATTTTAATATATATATATATATATATATATATATATTCTCCAAAGTATAACTTATTTTTATTTCTATAATATAATATATATATATATATATATATATATATAAATATATATTTTTTTAACTAATCGATTATTTTGAAATAATCGATTAGTTTTTTATGAGAATCAGTTATTTTTTGAAATAATTGATTAATTTTTAAATAATCAATTAATTTTTTAAGTATATATTAAATAATTATAAATAAAATATAAATGAAATTAAAATTAAAAAAAATAATTATTTTTAAATTATATATTTTATATATATTATATAAATTATAAATATAAAGTTAAAAAAATTATATTTAAAATTATAACCTTAAAATATTACGATTATAAAATTAATAAAAATATAACTATTTTTAATGTTAAATAAATTATATATATTATATAAATTATATATATATATATATATATATATATTACATAAATTAAAATTACATATATGAATTCTAAATTAATTTTATATATAAAATTTACATAAATAAAAATAAAAATTATCAACTTAAAAATAAATTATATTTTAATATATATATATATATATATATATATTCTTTAAAGTATAACTTATTTTCATTTCTATAATATATATATATATATATATTTTTTTTTAACTATTAAAAAAACTAATCGATTATTTCAAAAAGTAATCGATTAGTTTGTTCATACTTATTTAAGATAGCGGTTAATATGGGATAGATTTCATGTATGTCACTTTTAAGAGCGTTCCCTGTTAACCGCTATGATGTATGTCACTTTTGGAGAGAACTGCTATTATATATATATATATATATATATATATATATATATATATATATATATATATATATATATATATATATATTCTAACTATTTAAAATACTAATCGTTTATTTCAAAAAGTAATCGATTAGTTTTTTCATACTTGATTTTTTTCATACTTGATGAGAATCAGTTATTTTTTAAAATAATTGATTAATTTTAAAATAATCAATTAGTTTTTCAAATATATATTAAATAATTATAAATAAAAAAATATATACACTTAAAAGTAAAAAAAATAATTATTTTTAAATTATAAATATTATATAAATTATAAATATAAAGTTAAAAAAATTATATTTAAAATTATAACCTTAAAAAATTATAATTATAAAATTAATAAAAATATAACTATTTTTAATGTTAAATAAATTATATATATTATATAAATTATATATATTATATAAATTATATATATATATATTACATAAATTTAAATTACATATATGAACTCTAAATTAATTTTATATATAAAATTTACATAAATAAAAATAAAAATTATCAACTTAAAAATAAATTATATTTTAATATATATATATATATATATATATATATATATATATATATATATATATATATATATATATATATATATATATATTCTATCCACTCCTGATTATTATAGATTAAAGAATATGATGTGACAATGGCGCATTGTTGAGAGATATGTCATCAACAACTAACGTAATAATTAAAGTTACGTAGCACGAACAGCATGTAGTTTAAAATAGAATCGGAATAATTCTTTTACTTACAATATATCCTACAAAATCTGATACACGTATTAATTGTTTTGAGATATTCATATAAACAACCTGGGTTACTTTAAAAGCGTTCCATACACAAAATCTAAATAGGGACAGAAATTGATTAACAAAAGTGTGTATGTTATTGACCCCTAAAGTATAAATAATTAATGAATTTACACATTTTTATTATAATTTCACACAAGTTTTTCATGTGAAAAATTTGTGCCTATTTTTTATAAAATATTGCCACCTATATATATATATATATATATTTTTTTTTTTAATGAAACACGTTTATCGTACATGTACATAACGACACCCATCGTTTGTTCAGCTGTGAGTGATTTTTAAGTAATATATAAGATAAAATATTGCCAGCCGTCATATTTGCACAAGTTAAAAATATTTAAACATAAAAAGAAAAATTAGATTTTTTTTTTTATAATTATATGGAGGAGGGTTAAGGATATGGACTAAAAAATTGCCTTTATGAAAAATTATGTGAAAATTTGGGTTTGGGTATTGATTTGGGCCAACGTACTTAAACATGTTGGGTAAGTAGCCCGTGAGGATGGATGTTGGTTATGCGTTCATGAGCCCTTTAATTCAATTTGAGTTTGAATTCGGATTCTTGGTCACCGACCCCTTCAAGTGTTCGTGAAAATGCCAGAGAGGAACTCCTCCGTATACAGGCAATTTGTCACCCCGCGAAGGTCACCCAGGTTCCTCCCCCAACAAAACAACACCACTCCCAACCCCAAATCTGCCAAACACACCGTTTCCAAAAAGGAATCCAATGAGTTTACGGTGGGGCCGAGAAGGTCTTCGCGGCTGAACAATGGGGACGTTGGGTTTTCATCTCTTAGACGATCTCCCAGGTTCAACAACGAGTCAAGCGTTAAGAAAGTGAAGAACGCGAGTGTGAAGGGTGGTGACGCTGAAACGAAGGAAAATTGTGTCGTTTCAGATGAGGGGTTCGGTGGAGGAAGAAAGAAAGAGAGAAAGGAGAAGAGGGCTGAAGTTAAAAAGCAAAAAAATCATGTCGTTTCAGATGAAGGGATTGGTGGGGGTGCAAAGAAGGGGGTGATGGGAAGAAGGTTGAAGTTGAAATTACCAGAAATGGTGTCGTTTCGAATGGGGGTGCTGGTGGAGGAAGACATAAGGGTGGAAATGGAGAGATCGTTGAAGTTAAAACAAAAGAAAATCGTGTTGTTTGTGATAAGGGTTTTGATGGAGAAAGAAAGAAGATTGAAGATGGAGACAAGAAAAAGCGCAAAGGCGATGAAGTTAGGGAAGGGTGGACGAAGGAACAAGATTTAGCTCTTCAGAGAGCGTATCTCATGGCAAAGCCTAGCCCCCATTTCTGGAAGAACGTTTCCAAACTGGTATGCATCCTTCTCTCTCTGTATGCAGTTGTAAATATTGACTTTTGGTTTGACTTCAACATGGAACAAAGTTTGTGGTTCATGCTGTTGAAATTTAACTGAATTTGCATGTTTGGAATTGGCTTGTGTAACTCTTGAAAGCTGACAGTTATCAGGTTGGTTTACAGTTTGAAGAGTTTAATATGAATGGGGATAATAGATTCAGAAAATGAAGCAGTTTGCTATACTCTGAAACCTTGGTTGATGATTGTCTTTTTTCTACCTGGTTTTGTTGGCTGCTTAAATGTTAGAAAACAGATTTGGTGCTTCAAGTGTCCGCTGAGACTTGCATGTTATTTGTTAGCAAAGAATTGCAGTGGATAAGTGTTTATCTAGTAGAGGCAGCTGTTTGTGTTTGAATGAAGAGATGTAGAATGAAATGGATAAGCTATTAGAAAGTTGATATGGGCCTAACTCAATGCTAGTAGATCATACATAGTAGATAAGGTGAGGTTTGTACTTTAACTTGTATGTTATAATTTGGTCATAACATAAGATCTCCAACCTCTTATATTGAGAGGATACAATATTAGAGAGTAGATGTGAATTTAACTCATTTATATAAAATTAACTTATAAGACGAGATTTCTATCTCATTTATATACTATAATTTGGTTAAATTTCTAGTTTATATGAGATTTCTAACAGGTTTCATCCTTTTGTATCCTGTCAAATAGGAGATAATGAAATTGTAACCTATAGCTTCCCCTTCAAAATGGGGATATGATATGAGATGGTTTCCATTTCATCCTAAAAATGTAGAGAACATCGCATGGTAACTTTATTCCATTCCATCTCATTTCATTTATATATCAAGATATGGAGGAATTGTTATTGAAATTTTAGATAATTTTATTTCTGTGTGTATAGTTCTATAGTCTGTTGGTAGTCAATTGCATGTCAGATACGTGCGGATGCAGCTAGCTTTTAGATATGTTTTATTCTTGCATTGGTTGAATCGTGGCCATTCAAAATCTGTTGTAGGTGCCTGGAAAGTCTCAATAGGAATGCCACCATAGAAGTCCTGAGAGAATTGAGACAGAGAAGACTTGGAAGATCCTTAGGTGAGAAAAAGATTCATGCCTCCTCTCTTTTAAACCCCTTTGAAGCAAAACCATGAATTGTTCCCACCAGCTAGTTGTCCATTGGTTATCAGAACCTATCAAACATCCATTTAAAGATCATTTTACTCATTTAGTCATGGTATTGTATTGTCCATGCTATATACTTTTATAAATGAATTAATAGTACCATAAAGTTTCACTTACTTCTAAGTGTTCCTGGAGCCAAAAATGCTTGTTCTCTATGATTTTGTCGAATCTCTTGCTTTAGAAGAGGATATACATTCTTCTTATACGATGAAACTAGGAATTGTTTGACTGAAGCTTGATCCTCATAGTGATCTAAAGCCCTGTTTGATTGAGACAAAAGACTGTTTACACGGACAGAACTGAGATAGTTAGTAAGTAGGAAAAGAAAATAAAGGGTTCATGAATATGAGCGTGTATACATAGGGTGAAGAATCATACTTATCTTCTCATAACATTTGAGGACAACATTATGAGTGCGTGTGAATAATCAACCCTTTTTTTCTACAACTATGTTTTTTTCAAAAGCTGTCTGATTCCAGACCGTAAATAATAAGAGTATATTTAGATTATATCACTTTTTAGGATACAAATAAGAAAAATATTTTTTTATTAAAATGAAAATACTACATAACTTAACTTATATAGAAGTGTCATCGTGTATATTTTTTATTTTTTTTAATATTTATGTATAAGTTAATTTATTTTTTCCCTAAAAATTACTGTAAAAAGAGTGTCCAAATAGACTTAAGTGTGTTTGAATTTCAATTTGAAGTTATTCAAATATTGTCTCGTTGAAATAAACTACATGAAGGTAATTTTCATCTAAACACAATCTAGATATGTGTGTTCTAAAAAAAAAAAAAAAGTTTTGACTTGGAAATAACTATTACCATTTAAGAACTTTAATTAACAGTTTCTTATTATGTGAAAATTTATATCTTATTATAAAAATAAGTTAATATTAAACCTATAAAAGTTGTAACTGTGTTTTTTTTTAAATATTGTTAAGCGTAGATGTATACAATAGTTCAACAGGCACAGAAAATTGTTATATATGTATATATATTTTTTGACAGGAAATTGTTATATATGTATATATATTTTTTGAAACAACACAAAAGTATTACAAGACAAGACCAAAGTTTTTGTCCAACAGGCACAAAATGACTCAAAACAAATCTAAACTAATAATGACGAAACCCAGTATTACAACATGAGTTCATGTGCCCCACCCTACACATATGACTTCCCAAACTACATTAATTATTCCAATGAAGCTCTGAAAATAAGATTTTTAGATCTGGGTTTCTCCTAGTTTTGCAAGGGCATGAAACCTTTTATGTTGAATATTATGGAAATCTACAACTTAAGAAGAATCCTCTCACAAAATATCCTTAAAGACTTCAAAGTATTCCATTAACTTTTTAATAGGACAAAAGCGATAGTGGTATTTTGTTTTACGAGTTCCATTACTCCATTTTATATGATCAAAGAAAAGGAAAATAATTTATTGATTTAAATTAAACCGTGTAAGAGTCTTTTTGGTTAATTTCCACCACTAGACGTGAATAATGCTCAAATTGAACACAAAATTGGTAGAACCAAGGCTTTTTTAGAAAAAAGATAACGTAAACCCTTGAAGTATCTACAACATATCGAATCCTTTGTTTTTGTTTCTTTCTTTCTTCAAAAGTTCATCGTCAATATTTAACTACAAAGTAGTGGAAATTTATTGAAGTGAAAGATTATACGAATTGTTCATGGCACATAGTAAGACTTTTACATTTGATAATAGTTTACATAGTGATTGATTGCATTATTGTACAAACTACTTAAGACGAAGATTATCTATAAGCATGTTAAATATCATGACAAGTCAAACTATAATGCTTATTAATAGTGTCAACCAATGTTTATACAACGCAAATATATCATTTAACTATGTGCAAATATTAGTGGAAATCATGCATTTCTCAAAAATTAAGGTTAGAAAAACAAAACCAAATTAAAGAAGGACTCTCATGGAAACTAGATTGCTTCTGTCCATTAACCTAGCAGAATCACTTATTTGAAGATACCATAAGGTGCATCTTTAGCTACTTTAGTGCTTTATCTCATTCTTTTTGGAAACCAAGTTAATTAATTATTCATGGTAATGGAACCCACAAAATTGTTGGTCATGAATAAAGGTGCATTGAAGAACTTGGTGGTTACTCATGTCATAAGCATTTGCCATTTTGACTTAGTATGATGGTGGGTAGGGGCCAACCCCCCAATGTTACCATTATCACAAATAAAGTATGATGAAGCTAAGCTAGAAACCCAGAAGAACAAGTCAAGCACCATAAGTAGTGTAATTTATTAAGCTAGTGATGTATAGTTGAAAACATGTGTTGAACATCTTGTGAATTCGTACTATAATGTGTTGGGGTGATCAAAACATGGACGGTTCTTTTTAAATATAATCAAAGCTATGTGAATTAAATTGGACCTATTTCAAGCTATGCTTCTCCACATGTCAAATACTCAAACCATTAACCAAGCTTAATCTGGGCATTATCAAAGGAAATTGATTGATTGATTTTGACCACCATGTGCAATACGAGTATACGTGTTTAGAATCAATTTGTTTTTTCTCATGTAATCATGATACCCTGCGATAATCAATTTGTCCTCATGCAACTACCACCAACTACGTGTATAAACTATATATACAGTATATGATGCTAACCTATACACCACCAACTACGTGTATAAACTATATATACAGTATATGATGCTAACCTATACATTTTAAACTTTTCCTTGTATTAATATTTGAAATAGAATTTTATCCGTGCACTTCTATAGCAAAAAATTTGTACTACAAGTAAAATATCTACTCTTTAATATCTTTATTGTTCGTGTTTAATACAACTAAAATTTAAGCAAAGAAGTTGCAAAAGAAATTTGCCAACATATTTCGTTGCATAGATAATAAATCTATAAATTTATTAAAAAGATTTTTTTTACAGTTATTTAAATACTTAGTAAATAATTTTTTTAATTCTGTTTTTACTCTCTAAAATTTAAGATCATTTTATTTTTACTCTTAAAATTTACAAAAATATTATTTTAATTCTTTGAAATTGAAAAATATATGATTTAAATTTAACTATTAAATTTTAAAGACTGAAATAAACTCTTTAAAACTGTTTTTTTTTAGTCTTTCAGATTCAATTTTAAATTCAGTGAATACAAAAAAGATTAACCTAAATAAAAAATTTTACTGATATATTTGTTATATATATAAATTACTGTTAATTTTGATTCTAAATAATATAAAGTTTATGAATTGATTATTATAAAGTTAATTTTATTTTAAATTATAAAATATAAAATAGTAAAAATAATAACTCTATTTAAAAAAAAATCAAATTAAAATTTTTTCTATATTTAGTAAGATATATATTTTATTCCGAAAGAACTAAAAAAAAAATATATTTCTTTTAAAAAAATCTATAAGTTATTACAACCGGTCTAATATAATAAAAGAGGGGATATAACACGTGTGTAGATGCAACATATATGAATTATCTATTAAAGATTTTAACATGTATATAAAGTCCATAAATAGTTATAAAGAAAACAATAGTTATTACTCATCACCTACCCTGCAACCCAGAATAATGCAGTATAACTAATTTGTACAAAATTACCAATTTACACCAAGCCAAGTGTGTCACTGCAAAATTATTCAGTTACAAGAAAACAGAAACCATTTGCAGCACTTTAGAGTTACGTGAGTTTGTTTAAGTAGTTTTAGTACTTCAAACATGATGTTACCTGAAAATTCTAATCAGAATGTTTGTTTTAGAGCTATAAAGGGTTCCAAAGTGCAAATGTACTTGAATAAAAGCTTGATTTTTATTTATTTTTTTAGCATAAACACATATAAAAGAAACAGGCAGTGACTTTTTTCATAAATAATACTGTTTTTAAAAATATTTTCCAAAATAGCACCTCTGCAACTTTATTTACACAACTAGCACGGTTTACTGTTCACGTAATAAAATAATATTATTTTGCACAACTGTTTATTGTTCACGTATTAAAATAATATTATTTCGCGCAATGAACTCTCACTCAAGCGAAGAAACCCTTCGCTTGAGCGACGAAATCCGTAAGAACGCAGTTATCTCTGGTCAACTCTCGCTCAAGCGACAAATATTTCGCTTGAGCTAGAAGTGATTAAAATATGTGGTGACCCAAGTTGCGTTATGTGGCTAACTGCGTTGGACGTTTAGCGAAATAATGCAACTTGGGTTTAGATAGCGGTTCTAGAACTAACCGCTATTAAATATATTTTAGATAGCGATTCCACGTTAACCGCTATGTAAAATATACTTTTAATAGCGGTCAATTCTACAACCGCTATCTTAAATCTCGGGTAAATTCTAGCTCAAGCGACGGTAATTTCGCTTGAGCGAGAAGTGATTGAAATATGTGGTGACCCAGGTTGCATTATGTGGCTAACTGCATTGGACGTTTAGCTATGGTCAATTCTCGCTCGAGCTAGAAGTTCATCGCTTGAGCGAGAAAACCTGCAGGTGTCCCAGGTTGCATTATATGATGTTGCTGAAAGGGGAGTTTGTTCTGTTTATGAAATTATCTTGTGTCTGCATTGTTTTACCTGGAGCTGACTGTAATTGATTCATTGAAGGTGAATATGGGGATGATAGCATGTAAAGAGAATTTAAAATTTCTTGACTGATGGTTGGTTGGTTACTCAGGGTTAAAGTGCTTGAGGTTGTGGGGCTGTCAAGCATCAATTCTGTGGAGTGGCTTAGAATGATCAAAGAATTGTTTTTACAGTATTTTAATCGATACAAAACCCTGTAGAGCCCACTATGACCGATCAGATTTGAAATATGAGCGGTCAGAACTTATTTCAATCGATTAAAACACGTTTCAATGGATTAAAATCACTTAAAGGGTCAGAATGATCGATCAGAATGCAGTTATGACCGTTCAGAGTTGGTTATGATCGATTAGAATTGAATTATGAACGATCAGATCTGTTTCAATCGATTAAAACGCATTTCAATCGATTAAAACAACTTGGAAAAATTTTGTACAAAGTTTTAATCGATTAAAACTTCTTTTTATCAGCTAAAATAACTTGGAAAGTTTATAAGAAAGTTTTGTTGTATATCAATCGATTAAAACACGAAACAATCGATTAAAATTTCTTGACTGATGGTTGGTCATTCTTGTTATATTGAGTTGTATGACTGATATGTGCATCAATAGTTAGCAAAAAGTTCCTTAAATAACCTTTGATTTCATCAAACTCAAAAGATCTTCGTTTTATCAAATGATTCAATAAGATCTTCATCACTTTCAATTAATTGAAAAACTCCTAAGTTTCATACATTGAGACATTTCTTAACTAACACAATCTAATGATGCAAAGTTGCAGAGGTGCTATTTTGGAAAATATTTTTAAAAACAGTATTATTTATGAAAAAAAGTCACAGGCAGTCTATGATTATTAACATTTTTTTAATCATACAACAATGTTGCCAATTTTCTTCTCTTTTTGCTGAGACATGAATATCCAGACTACAAATTTTGAGCATAATGAAAGACTCTGAGGAGGTTTTTTTGGTACAAAATAATGTGGTCCTCATGATCCAACAGCAATGCAATGGCATGAAATGAAGCAATATGGTTAGCTTCACTTTTCAAAGCCACTGTGGTCTCTTGTCCTTTTTCCCCCTGCATTTTCAGAGTGCTGTTAAAAGCCCCCCAGGCCACCACCACCAAACAAGACAACAAGGCAATAACAGATAAAAGCCTACTTTGTCTTGCATGCACTTACATGCACCTTTCATTTTTTGCATGCATGATGGTCCCCTACTCGTATCTTACCCTCTAATTTCTCACAATTCCCTTAACCAATCTAACATGGCATGTTAAACTGAAAGAAAATAATAATTTATAACAACAGTAAGTTGTTTATATGTTCCAACTGTAAATAAGTTTTGTAGAAGTGTTTATATTGATAGCAGATAAAAATTAAACTTTATTAATTGAAAAAAGTATAAACATAAATCTAAAATATTTTTCTTTGTTTATTGGTTCGATAACTAGTGTCTTGTTGTGATAATAATCCTGATGTGGTATTCAATAATTGAATCAGAAAGTGTGTGCCATTTTCACACCAAATTTCGCTTTCATCTTATATATAGGCCTTCAGTCACTTGATATAGCTCTGGCCATATTAGAGTAATTAATATTATGACTTTGTACATTGAGAACTGTGCTAACATAAGATCTCGTGTTGTTCTCTTTTATCTGCTATATACTTCCTTAGCTTTTCCATAAACACACGGAAAAAAAAAAGGTCAGCTTTCTTGTTTTGTTATGCATTTTTTTTCCTCTACCATTAGCCTTTTTCTCTCAAGTTTTGAACACAATTTCAGGATCCTGTTCTTCCTTTCTTGATGCTAGAATCTGCTCCATTTGTTTTATCAAAATACCACTGGTTAAAAGATCCCTAGCTTTCCGTAGGGACCCATGTTGGTATTTGTTTTGTCTTGATATACTGTTTACTGTTGAGGGAGTAAGTCAGCTGTTCTTCCTCCTCCTTTGTCTGTCCTTTTTCTTGTAATTTAGTTGGATGTTGTTTCTCTGTGAAAAAGTGGAGTGTCTATGCAAATCATAAAGCATATTATGCGCTAGAGTTCAAGGCAAATTAGCTCCTTCTGTTTGTGTTTGTTTCATCAATTTTGCTCCAACCACCTTGGGTTTATCCTGTGCATGATAGTGCTGCTTTCACTCAATTACCTCATGAGGAACTTCAAGGCTTTTAGTCATGCCGTCATTGCTCTCTTCATCATCTCTCTGGGTGCTAGGTGTGATGGACAAGTAGAACTTGACACGGTTCTGATGGAGAAGTCTGAGAGGGATGCTCTATTCTCCACCATTCAGGGATATGAATTGAGGAACTGGAATAACTGATATGTATCGTAACCAAAGGAATTCATCAAAAATATGAATTATTGATATTAGAGAAATAATGTACAGTTGATAAAAGAAAGGAAACTGGCTTATATTAATAACAACCAAAAGTATATGAATCAATGATGATAAAAAGTTGGTGGATTGATCATCAATGAAAGGATAATAGTGAGCTCTGTTTTACAAGAAAATGTAATTGAACAAGTAAAATAGCAGTATATCTAAAACTTCTCATAGAAAGCCTCTATATCTGAAACTTCTCAAACAATGCCAGAGTTGAATACATGTAAATCCAGTAAGGTATTGTAATGTCCCGTCTCAATTTCCTCATCTTTTACTTGATGAAGAACAAGGGTCTCAATAACAAGGTCTTCCCAATCAACATCGTCAACTACCATTCCTTTTCTCTTCCTTCTTTCAGGACAAGAGCTATGTGAAGGTGCAGGAATCTCAGCACCCAAGGGATGCATAATTCGCTTTATCCTTAGCTTAGCAGCATTGATTCTCTCCTGCCTCATTTTACATTTCAATTGACCATTGACAAATGATGGCGGCATGGTCTCCACTCCAATATCCTTCTCCAGAAGATGTTTAAGCAGAAGCTTTTTGCTCAGTTCAGATTTTCCATCCCACCACTCCGTACACTGTTGCAGATCAAATCCAAAACTTCTTCTTTTCCGAGCATTCCCACTCCCTCTCAAAGGCTCGGCACAACGATTTTCATCTAAAAACTTCTTATACAGCACAGACAAGCATTCAGGCGAAACCTGCAGCCTGTCAGCATCCCCAACACCCAATCTATTAGCCTTACTCTCCGTCGAAAAATACTGCAGATCCTTCCGCGAAGTCACGCCATCAACCCCATATTCTAATTCATCATCATGTCTCAAGCATTCAGCAACCACATCCTCCAAGTCCACTGCAGCTCGATGAAGATCCTTCCTCTTCTCCTGAATCACCCCAGGCTTCAACATATCCTTCCTCTCCAAATACTGAATCACAAAAGGCGCATTCTTAACAATGTTCTTAAGAGTAACATCCTTCCCCCAAGGCAGTACCTGCGCAACTTTCACAAGTGTCTCAAGCAACTCCTTGTACCTAGTCCTACAAGTTGAAAGCTTAGCATGAACCTCCCTAGCCAATTCCTCCATCTCCACCGCAATCCCATTCAGCTCCGCCACAAACACCACCACCGCCACCACCAACGGAAGCGGCCGCCGACCAGTGCTTAAAAACCACTTCACCGCACACTGAATCAAAAACACCCCCTGCTTCCGAATCCTATCAATCACACCCCTATCAAGAGAGGCAAAAATTCTCGAATTCTTAATTGTGCGTTCCAACGAATGCACAATGTCAAACTCCGGAAAATCAGACCTCAGATTCAAAAAATCAACGACACGCAGAATCATCCTACCGATTTCATACAAGTCGGACCCCACCGCTGAGGCGACTTCCGCCATCGGCAAGGGTCGATCCTCCCTTCGCATGACAACATACGCGCACGCACCGATGAGCACGCGGAACCACTCGCCCTGGCCGAACTCGCCCTCGGTGATAGTGGACGCCATGCTCCTGACGTCGACGCTCTTGGAAGATAACCCTAGGGTGTAAGTTACTTCCTCGATGGTGGTTTGCGCGGCGAAAAGTTTCCTCTCTTTGTACGAATAAAGGCTGCCCGAACCTGCGGTGCCGACACGGATGAAGGTGCCCTGAGGACCGTCGATGGCGCCGATTTGGGCGTCGAATTGGTCGAACTGCTGAATGCCGCCGCACGAGGAACAGATTAACTCGCCAGAGACATCGTCGCGGATGAACGATGTTTTGTTGCAGTAGCTGCACGGAGAAGACATCACGTCGAACAAATCTACCGAAATTAATTACTTCGGGTTTTATAAATAATACCGACTTCCGAGCTGAATAGAGCTGAGCTTGTGACCCTCTAAATCTAAGGTAGGAATCGAGTCAAATCGGGATTTTTGCAATCAATGACCTTACATATAAAGTGGCACCGATATTAAAAGTGACATATCTAAAAAAAGTATTAAAAAATTAATCAATTACTTTTTAAAATAATTTTTGAATAGTTAAAATATATATATATATATATATATTAAAATATAATTTATTTTTAAGTTGATAATTTATTTTTATATTAAAATATATATATTAAAATATAATTTTTATTTAAGTTGATAATGAAGAATTGTATTTGCGCATTCTTGCTTTGTTTTCTGTTTATGTTTGATTGAGTTTGTAATGAAAGTATTTTGTAGGGTTTAGGATTAATTGAGTTGTGATGCTATATTAATGTCCAACAAGTGTTTGATGAAATGTTACAATGAAGAATTGTATTTGCATGACAAGTATAATATGCACAAGATTTACACGCACGTTTGCATAATTCACAATTTGACCAAAATTATGTGTAACATGGTTGGACTTAATTTTTTTTTTTACTATTTTGTCATTGTAAGTTACAATTTTAATAATTTGTAACAGGATTAGTTTGGGAAAAAATGTATGCAAAAAGAGACCGTCGTGACGAGAAAAAGGTATGTTCATGTTAATTATTGTATTTGCATGACAAACATTTTGTATAATATGCACAAGATTTACACCCACGTTTGCATAATTCACAATTTGACCAAAATTATGTGTAACATGGTTGGACTTAATTTTTTTTTTTTTTACTATTTTGTCATTGTAAGTTACAATTCTAATAATTTGTAACAGGATTAGTTTGGGAAAAAATGTCTGCAAAAAGAGACCGTCGTGACGAGAAAAAGGTATGTTCATGTTAATTATTGTATTTGCATGACAAACATTTTGTATAATATGCACAAGATTTACACCCACGTTTGCATAATTCACAATTTGACCAAAATTATGTGTAACATGGTTGGACTTAATTTTTTTTTTTTTTTACTATTTTGTCATTGTAAGTTACAATTTTAATAATTTGTAACAGGATTAGTTTGGGAAAAAATGTCTGCAAAAAGAGACCGTCGTGACAAGAAAAAGGTATGTTCATGTTAATTATTGTATTTGCATGACAAACATTTTGTATAATATGCACAAGATTTACACCCACGTTTGCATAATTCACAATTTGACCAAAATTATGTGTAACATGGTTGGACTTAATTTTTTTTTTTTTACTATTTTGTCATTGTAAGTTACAATTTTAATAATTTGTAACAGGATTAGTTTGGGAAAAAATGTCTTCAAAAAGAGACCGTCGTGACGAGAAAAAAGGTATGTTCATGTTAATTATAGTTTTTTTATGAAAAGTGATTTACTAAATATTCAATTTGTTATATGTTATGTATGATATATATGTTATACATGTTATATGTGCAGATAAGATTAAGACACAAGATTGAGACAGAGTATATTGCTGATATAAATTCAAAGTTGACCAAACACCAACGAACAGCTATTTCGAGAAGAATATGTATGCAGATGGGTACTTCATCCTCAAAATCTTCATCGACAAGTCATGGTTATTGAATCAGGAGTTAACGTCCTCATCTAGGAATAGAAATGTAGATATTGTATTTGATTATTTGTTCATCTTCATTGATGAATGTTGTACAGTTTATTCATATGTAATATAACTTTTAAGTTGGTTATGGATCATTTAAATGTTAAATATTATGACATTAACAAGTGACTGATTTTTGGACCATGGTTAAATATTATCCTCATACCACATACTTGGATGATATATGGAGCGTGGCGTGGCCACCACCCACTCTCACTGCTCAAGTAAACATCATAGTAACATCAACAATCGCCCAAGTATAACTTAGTTTCACAAAACAAAATGGTCATTAATTTTGTTAGAAAAGTAGTTTTAGATCAAGAGGGGGGGTGAATTGATCTTTGAAAGTTTTTCGCAATTCACAGATTATCTAATTCGAAAATTAAGTTTACTAATCTATTCTTGAATCTCAAAGCAATCAATTAAAATAAGCGCAGCAACTGAATTTAAAGAGAGAAAGGTTAAGAAAGATTTCACCGGTATTTTATACTGGTTCACCCAATACCAGGGCTACGTCCAGTCTCCAGCCAAATTCCAGCTGGGTTCCACTAGATTAAATGTTTTACAGATTCAACAATCTTACACCTAATCTAACACAAGAACCAAATTCCAGTTCCTGCACTTAACCTCTCCACCAAGAACCAAATTCCAGCTCTTGATAACCTCTACAACCAAATTCCAGCTGCAGAGAAACCAGTACCCAAATTCCAGGCACCACACAGTACAAGAACCAAATTCCAGTTCCTGTACTCAACCTCTCCACCAAGAACCAAATTCCAGTTCTTGATAACCTCTACAACCAAATTCCAGTTGCAGAGAAACTTGTGCCCAAATTCCAGGCACAACACAATACAAAAGAATGAAAAAGATTTTACAAAGAAGAAACTAGAAAGCTCAAACCAGTTTATCCAAATCTGCAGAGAGTTTCTTCTTCAAAAGAATGCAAGTTGCCTCAAGAAAGATTTTCAAAATAATTTCAAAAAAACTGTTGTGAATTTTTCTTGAAAGAGTTCTAAGGTTTGCTTGAATGATTGCTTAAGGATGTGTAAAAACTGATATTCAAAGTATGTTTCAAAAGTTCAAGCAAAACTGTTTTTAAAGAGTAATTTCAAAAACTGCTGCATTAATTAATCTGTTGAAAGTTTGTTTTAATCTGTTGAAATAGCCGTTTCAATCTGTTAAAAGTCCTTTCAATCCATTAATGCGTTCTTGTTTCTTTAACAGAATTGTTTTAGTTGATACTGCACCGGTTATATCAATTAAAACACTTTACAAAACTTTTCTAAGTTTGATTCAATCGATTGTTTCGTGTTTTAATCGATTGATATACTGCAAAACTTTCTTATAAAACTTTTCAAGTTATTTTAACTGATAAAAAGAAGTTTTAATCGGTTGAAACGCGTTTTAATCGATTGAAACTCTGTAAAAAATTTTCCAAGTCATTTTAATCGATTGAAATGCCTTTTAATCGATTGAAACATATCTGATCGGTCATAACTCAATTCTGATCGATCATAACTAACTCTGATCGGTCATAACTGAATTCTGATCGATCATTCTGAATCTTTAAGTGATTTTAATCGATTGAAACGTGTTTTAATCGATTGAAAAAGTTCTGATCGCTCATAATTCAAATCTGATCGGTCATAATGAGTTCTAAAGGGTTTTAATCGATTGAAAGCAATTTGTATCGATTAAAATACTGTAAAATTACTTCTTTGAACATTCTAAGAGATTTTAATCGGTTCTTTCAAAACTATATCAGTTGAAAACATTATTAAGAAAGCTTTTGTCATAATGCTTTGTTTTTAATTTGTTTAAAACGATTTTTGAGGCATTTTGCAAAATCATTTAAGAGAAGAAACTTCATGCAGCAGAAGAGATAAAGTGGTTTTACCTAAGCATTCTGTTAGACACACTAATCCTCTAACTCTTTTATCTGAGTGACTTGTTGACCACTGCAAAGTAGCCTTTTGACTTCATCAAATCAATGAGATCTTTGCCAAAGTATTTCACTAAGATCTTCATCACTTTCAAATTTCCATTTGAATTTTTGATGGCAAGATGTTGATATGTAATATAAAAGAAGAAATTCAGATTAAAAGAACAAGGGAAGAGAACAATATAAACTAGCATATGGAAATTGTACAAGTGATAAGATTTATTGTAGGAAAGATGTATAGGTTTACGTATCAGCTTTGTACATAACAGATAACTTCATGCTTAATAGTTGTAAAGCATGCGCTTAACAAAAAACAGATTGAAATTTGCATGTCACGTCTCATTCAAGTTCAGCCTTGGCCACAGACGAAATGTCCAATGCAGTTAGCCACATACTGTAACATGGATAACCACATATTTTAATCACTTGCCGCTCGACCGAGAATAACGTCGCTTGAGCGAGAAACAATCCGAGAGTCCCTATTTTTTGTAAGGGTACCTCGCTCAAGCGATGGATTTCTCGCTTGAGCGATTGTTGGCCGTAGACGAAACGGCCAACGCAGGTACCAACATAATATGACATGGGTCACCACATATTCTAATCACATGTCGCTCGGGCGATCATATCATCGCTTGAGCGAAACAGAACCCGAGAATCCCCATTGATTGAAGGTTTGTCGCTTAAGCGATATTTTATTCGCTCGAGCGAGTGTTGACCCACTGTGGAAACGTTAAACGCAGTTAGCCAAATAATATAACTTGGATCACAACATAATAGAAACAGTTGTCGCTCAAGCGTTCACAAAGCGCTTGAGCGAGACAGAACCCAAGGGTCCCCTTTGGTTAAGGTTCCATCGCTCAAGCGATGTCATCCTCGCTTGAGCAACTGGTGAACCACAGACGAAACGTCCTACACAGTTAGCTATCTAATATAACATGGTTCACCACATCTAAGATTCAAATGTCGCTGAAGCGATTAAATAGTCGCTTGAGCGCGACTGAAACCGAGTGTCCCTATTGATTTGAGCGACCTTAGATAGCGGTTAATAAGAACCGCTTTTAAAAATATATATTAGATACCGATTAGCCTTAAACCGCTGTCTAAAAGTATGTTTATAATTGCGGTTTTTTTATAACCGCTCCCTTATATCATACTTTTAAAGAGCAGTTGACCCTAGGAACGCTATAATAAATGTAGGTTAGATAGCGGTTGGCCACATAATTGGACTATAGTCGATCATAATCTTCGATAACCTATCTTAAGTCATATATGTCAAAGTGATCGACTATAATTGGACAATAGTCGATCATAATCTTCGATAACCGATTATAATTGAGAATGATCGATTATAGTTGGAGAACATC